CACACACAAACACACCAACAGACACACTTAGCCGATCATAAGTAGGATTCTTACTCGAACGTGAATTTCACTTTCACTGAAACTTTAACATTCCAAAAAAATCGTTTCGACAATAAATGCTGTTGTAATAAATCAGCCCTTTTTGCAAAAGATAATGGTTATGGACAAGGGAAGGGATGGCGATCGTTGAGATCATCGAAATGCAGTTGGCTCAAATGAGCATCAGTGGGACCTGGCAAGTGTGATATAGTCCAAGTACACAGAAATGCTCGTAAAGGAAGCCATCATATGTCAGCATAAGCTAATGTGGTTATTTCTTTCTACCCTATAATGGAGATGAACGTATGTAAAGGGTTGTTATACAAAAAATGTGTGTGCGGTCTTCCAATGGTGGACTTGCTTCCACACCGCATCCGCACCAAATCAGCACATGTTTAGGGAATAACCGTGCTAAACAAGATGAGCAATGACGGTTATTGAGGTCGGTGAGGAACTAATGGTTTGAATAAGTCTCAGTTAAATCTAACATTGGCGAAACTCTTACCTCAAGTCGGAACACTGCAGATACTCAGGATTCATATTCAGCTGTAGCTAGCGAACTTCTTCTTGTTAACTTTTTCACCCCAAGGCAAAGGTGGATAAAACCAGATATTGCCTCTACGATATGCATGTTCAAGGACCAATCCAAGATCGTAGCAACCAAGGAGGAAACTTACTTGAGCAGTTCTAGTTTCGGCCAATCAGTAGCGTTTCCTTCCGATAGGATAACCTTCTGGTAACTACTAAATATATCGACCAGATAGCGCAATGTTGTATAGACCATATATCATCCAAATGCTACTCCAGTTGCACTCGGAAGGGAAAATCTATAAAGGGAATCTAAAGTTTACGAATTTCACTACTCGCTACTTCGCTCAATCAATCATTGCTATCCGCCGGCTGGGCTAACGAGAATCTTGTGCTGTCTCACGCAAAGGGCTTTTCATGAATGTCATTTTGCTCTCCAGCTGTTCGGATATTTTATTGCGAAATTAAGAAGGGATACAGATGATCTACTGTCTTTTATAAAGGCAGACGGCAGACACGTAATCATCCTCCGTGCTCCTTGTGCTCATGTAGCCGTTGCATCCGTAGAGCGTGCCAGCGGGAAGGCTGTCGAGCTGAACCAGTTCTTTCAATTTCAGGCAAAGGCAGTCACATACACGAATTCCTCTAGCGATTCAATATTCTTCAAGGCTTATGGAGTGCCCTTAACTCACTTCTGCTTCCTTTTCATCAAAATGTATTTCTAAGACGTCGAGTATTTTTTGCCAGACTGCTTTCTCGTCCGCATTCACAATTAAACTAGAATATTATTAAAGTGAGCTAGACCGAAAAAAGCCTCACTGGAGCAGGTACAAACCCTCTTCCTCCAACGGCCATATCAGCATTTATACTGTCCCGTTGTTCTGGTGAGTTTAGCCAATCCAGTGCCTTTTCCGCCCACTCATCACTCCAAACCTATCAATATCATATAATGCTCATTTGTAGCCGTCGGCTGAATCTGATAGAGAAACTAACCAGGTCATTGGTGTACATGCTGTTGAGCGTCTTGAAAGTTTCTTTTTCGTTAAGGGGAGTTTCCGAGCCTGAAGAGAGGTTCCCGAGTCTAATCAGGACGACTTTCTTTCTGGATCTTCGCAAGGCTATATTCAATTAATACATAGTACTCACCCTTGACGGAGGAGATTGTAACAAGAAGAGTAATTATTGTGAGAAGCAACATTTGAGTGTGATACATTCCACTGGACGACCCTCCTATTT